ATCGATCAACAGTCGTGTATGCTCGAGGTGCTGGACACAGCGGGCCAGGAAGAATATACCGCGCTACGAGACCAGTGGATCCGGGATGGCGAGGGCTTCGTATTGGTGTACAGCATCACCTCGCGCGCCTCCTTCTCCCGCATCACAAAATTCTACAACCAAATTAAGATGGTCAAGGAATCGTCCAGCTCCGGTTCCCCCTCCGGCCCCAGTTATTTGAACTCGCCCATGAACGCCTCATCGGGTCCCGCAATGCCCGTCCCCGTTATGCTAGTCGGCAATAAGAGCGACAAGGCCGTCGAGCGCGCAGTCTCAGCACAGGAAGGTCAAGCATTGGCCAAGGAGCTGGGATGTGAGTTTGTCGAGGCATCCGCTAAGAACTGTATAAATGTGGAAAAGGCCTTCTATGACGTTGTCCGCATGCTGCGCCAGCAGCGACAGCAGGCGGCAGGCGGCCGTGGCGCAGACCGCCGCCCGACAGGCTTCGGATCAGGCCACCGCGATCGCGACGCAGGCCCCGAATATCCCAAGTCCTTCCGGCCCGATCGGTCGCGGCATCGCAGTCGGCTCCAGTGTACTCTCTTGTGATCCGTCGGCTCTATCCGCGAGGCGTTGGATTTCTTGCTCACTGAGATAATGGCTGTTACTTCTCTATTTTTTTCTCTCTCTTCCTCTCTTCCTTTTTGGTCCTGGGTGCATCTGGAGGGTTCTATCTTTTGGTTACCTCGTTCGGCGTCGGTGGTCCTTGCCATGCTACCCCCTTTACGCTCGCATTCTAAAGAGCTTGAGAACTGGCGTGGGGATTGAGGCCAGTGTTCTGCAAGCCTTGAGCGCAAGACTTTTTTTTTTTGTTTTGGCTTTGTTTTGCTCTTTTGAAATGCGCCGAGGCATGCAGACTGGCTGTCTAGATTTCCACAAGCTCCCCTTTTTTTCCCTTGACGATCGTCCCTCTTCTTCGGTCTCTGCTTATTTGATAAGGCGCGATCGGAGAAATCTTTCAGACACGCATCGGAGCGCCCCGAAAGAAGAAAAAAAAAACACACCCCCCCCTCCCCCCCCCCCAGGCGACGAAGCCAGAAGATCGCAGTCGCGCATTAGCAGGCATTTCGATATGATACCCTACGACTGAGCTTGTTTTATTTGATTCATTTTTCAGCCATTTTTTTGCGATATAGACAATTGATAAAGGTGTTCTTGGTAATAACTTGAAAGATCCGAAAATACCGCCAAAGTACTGGGGGTACGAATGCAGTACCTCATTCCAGGTTGTACTTGATACTGTGCATGAGGTATACTCTTGGTGCACTTGAGTACACACTAAGTACACACTGGGTACACCACGGGTACCAAAGAAAGTGCGGGGGAAAAAGCACGGACTCGCCTCGGCTGCATCCGGGGAGGGGGGGGATCTCACCTGCACAGCTTCACCTCTCCTTTCTCCGCAAATGGCAAACCCCTAAAATGTCTTTTGTCGATCCTACAGGTCTTAACTTCCATCTCCCCGTGCCAATCGCACCGTTGGATCCGAAAGACCTCGGGTAGAAGCACTCCATATCAGGGCTTCAGAGTACTTTGGTGCAAAATTTCTCTGTCTTGTGTAACTTGTTTCTCTCTTAGCTTCTTCTATCAAATCACAAGGCAAATAAGTTTGCCACTTCCCCTATCATATCCATCCGGATCCAAGTCCAAATTCTATCCAACATGTCTCCGCACCCCCAACCAACAACCCACTCACATTCCCTTGGCGACCCAGAAACCTTCTGGTCGCATCACGCGGCCAGACTCCACTGGCACCGCAAGCCTTCACGTGCCCTCACACGGCAGACAAAATCCCTACCGAGCGGAACCAAGCATGAGCACTGGTCCTGGTTCGCTGACGGCGAGATCTCCACAACCTACAATTGTGTCGATCGACATGTGCTCGCGGGCCATGGCGACAATGTTGCAATTGTATGGGAATCACCAGTTACAGGTGTAACGGAGAAGTATACTTATTCCCGCCTACTCGATGAGGTGGAGGTTCTGGCCGGTGTACTTAGGGAGGAAGGGGTACAAAAGGGCGATGTTGTTATTATTTACAGTAGGCAAACCAACAACTTCGTGATGCCACCATGAGTGAGGAATGGATGAAAAGCAGGAATCCCAAACTAACCAAGTATCGCATCTAGTGCCAATGATCCCCGCGGCTTTAATAGCCGCGTTGGCAATAACCCGTTTAGGAGCAATACACGCCGCCGTATTCGGCGGCTTCGCCCCGCAAGCTCTAGCGCAGCGCATCGAGGCCGCGCGCCCGAGAGCTATAATGACAGCGTCATGCGGAATAGAGGGGTCCAAGGGACCCGTTTCCTACCGACCGCTTGTCGAGGGCGCGGTCAAGGCAAGCCGCTTCAAGCCGAGCAGGGTCATTGTCTGGCAGCGTGACCAACTGCGGTGGAACCAGCCTGATAAGCGTGGTGGACAGCGTAATTGGCAGAGACTCGTTAAGAGTGCACGGTTCCGTGGGCTTAAGGCTGGACCTGTTCCCGTGAAGAGTACGGACGCACTTTATATCATTTATACAAGTGGTGAGTGAATCTCAGAACCAAATCTGGTGCCTGGTAAATTTGTTCTGTTTATACTAACATATTTCTACAGGAACAACTGGCCTCCCTAAAGGCGTCCTCCGCGAAGCAGGCGGACACGCCGTGGGCCTGGAACTCTCCATAAAATCCCTCTTTGGGATAAAAGGTCCCGGCGACACAATGTTCTGCGCATCAGACATAGGCTGGGTTGTCGGACACTCGTACATTCTCTATGCGCCGCTGCTAGTCGGCGCCACAACCGTCCTATTCGAAGGCAAGCCTGTCGGCACGCCAGACGCAGGAACGTTCTGGCGCATCATCGAGAAACACCATGTAAATGCGCTCTTCACGGCCCCAACTGCCATGCGAGCTATCCGGAAAGATGACCCGGAGGACAAGCTTATCGGCGAGGTCGGAAAGCGTGGAGGATTGAAATCTCTCCGTGCGCTTTTCCTCGCCGGTGAGCGTAGCGAGCCCAGTATTGTTAGCTCATACCAAGATCTGCTTGGTAAGTATGCAGCGGATGGTGCGCTTGTTGTTGATAACTGGTGGTCATCTGAATCCGGATCTCCGATTACGGGTATTGCGTTGAATGGCAGCGCTGCCCTCGCTAATCTGGCATCTGGGCCAGATCATCCTCCCCTTGCGACCCGTCCCGGCTCAGCAGGCTTCCCAATGCCTGGGTTTGACGTCCGCATCGTCGATGACGAAGGTAGTGAAGTCCCCCGCGGCACAATGGGCAATATTGTTATGACCCCACCGCTCGCCCCGTCGGCATTCACAACCCTCTTCGAGGACGAGGAGCGGTTTTACCGTGGGTATCTTAAGCGGTTCAATGGCCGCTGGGTTGATACCGGCGATGCGGGCATGGTTGATAAGGATGGATACGTTCATGTTATGTCGCGAAGTGACGATATCATCAATGTTGCCGCGCATCGGTTCAGTACCGGTAAGGATATTCTTCGCTCCCCAGCGTCATGATCCGAGGATACATGATCTGACTCATTCCTACAGGATCCATTGAACAAGCAATCCTCTCGCACCCATCGATCAGCGAAGCAAGCGTTGTCGGCATCCCCGACCCGCTGAAAGGCCACCTTCCTTTCGCATTCATCCAGCCCAAAGCTGGCGTGATCCCTGGAGAATCTGGGACTCTTCCGGCAACACCTAGCCCGCAGTTATTTGCCGAGATTAACGCGCTGGTTCGAGAACAGATCGGGGCTATTGCGTCGCTAGGTGGGATTATACAGGGTCGGGGAATGATCCCCAAGACGCGGAGTGGGAAGACGCTTAGGCGTGTTCTTAGAGAGCTTGTTGAGATCGAGGTGAAGGGGGAGTACAGGGCGGAGGTTAGTGTACCGCCTACTGTTGAGGATGCGGAGGTTGTTTCTGTTGCGAGGGAGAGGGTTAGGGAGTACTTTGAGGAGAAAGCCAAGGCGAATGGGGTCGGAAAGGCAAAACTTTAGATGGATGTGGTCATGGCCCCATACTACAGCTTAGAGTGGTTTTTTTTTTGGACTGGCACTTGAATGAAAGGAGAGAGTGGTAGATTAATGCCTCGAGGCATATGGACTGATTGCATATTTCGGTTGAAGATGGGCATCAAAGGGGGGGAATTTCGGGAAGAAGCTATTAGGCTTCAGCATCTTATCTTATCATCATAGTCAAACGGAAAGGATAGTGTCTGATAAATGAAGCTTTAACAAAAGATGTGAGTTTTAGCATGGAGACTCTCAAAGCTTTTTCAGATGCATTTTATGACCCAGAATGGCTACCTGCTGTAAGTCCGATGTTCTCCAGAATGGGTTAGACAAAATCTATACAAAATATATACAAAATCTACACCTGGGCAGGCATTAGAAATACGTTTTTTTTCTTGGGGCTTTTGAATTTCGAGACTTTTGAATAAAGTGGAAACGTTAAAGGACAAATGGATGGAGCTTGCAACTCTGGGGTTTACCTCTTTTACCTCTTTTACCTCTTTTACCTCTTTTCTAAAAGACTCAAAGCTGCAACAAATATTGTGACCTATCCTTCTGGAAAAGCCCGCAGAAAGAAATACGATAATACGACACGCCCGCAGAAAAAGGTCGAGGCCGGGGTCTCCGAGCTGACTGGACTGAGATAACAGCCCACTATTCCATTCTCTAGGCCCAGGTGGAAGGTTAATTCTGATTCCAAGACTTTCCCATGAAAACTCCGCTTATAATTTCCCTCAATCTGTCGGCGGTGCCGATACGATCCTGAATGCTCTGCTGATTCTTCGACAACTTGAGGTGGCAGACTGCAGCTGGGCACGATACTTCAGCTCGTTTATCGATATGTCAAGGGCTCTGTCTATATAAATACCTTGACAATGACCCTAGATTTGGGGTTTGTATCACAGGCCAGCAATCAGAACAAAAACAAGACCAAACAACAGATCAATTATCCCCCAAAATGCATATAACCCTTCTCACCATCATCACTCTTGCCTCCTTCGCCCTGGCCGAGTATCGCCCAGAAGAGCGTGTCGTCCTGGCAGATTGTGGAATCCACCCACCCAATGGCGATTCCACCTCGCGCCAAATCATGTATTACCACGCTGCTCCATGGGCGTTCCAAGGAACACGAGGGAAATGGGTGACACCGGACATGATGACCGATGTCCCCTGGGACGGGTCGTATCCCTGGCGAACAAAGGGATTGAAGCGTAAGATGCCAAACGGGGATGAGTTCTCCATCGTGATCGATCCCTCAATCCCTGATTCGAACGATCAATTCGCTGGGCTCGCAGGCCATACCTTCGAACCTCATGGGTTTGGATGTCGTGGTCACCACGAGCGCGGGATCTACATTCTAGACGATGGCACCGAATGCGCGTCAGCGTATATCTGCGACCACAAGACCGAGACTCGACCGAGTCCTGCTCCGGCTCCGGCTCCCCCAGCTGGAAAGACGACCTCGTCACTGACTCTCTCGTCCGATGCAATCTATGTTGACACTTCCAATTTGTACAAGGATAAGCTGAGACTTATGAACCCGAGCGATGCCTTTCATAGTGTTTATGATGCTATTGAGGGAAATGGATGCAGGAAGACGGATTTTGCTGTTTCTGACTCCTGCACAATATCTTACGATTGTATGTTTGCAGGGGAGAAGAATGACGCAAAGTCTCGCAGTGATGCTGTCGCTAAGTTCTTGCATGGTACTGCTGGTCCTCAGGTTTCGAAGTCTTGGTATGAGAAGACTACCTACTCGCAGCAGTGGGGAGTTCCTACATATTGGATTGGGTATAAGTATCCGAAGAGTGGACAGATTGTTATTACTCATGATAATTCCATCCAGTCACAACTCTCTTTTGAGATCAAGTGCAAAGGAAGTTGGTTCTGTGATGTTGGCTGTACTGAGGTCACTACCGGGATGCTTGCTTTGGGTTATGCCCAGGGCATGGCTCCCGTTGGTGTCTTTGGCACTTTGACTGCTGGTGCTTGTGGGCTGTTTTGTTGATCTTGGCTCGGCCTTTTGTTGCTAGTAACCACAAGTATAAATGCTTTGCCTAGCTTAAAAACACGTACGTGGGCTAGGCCGCTATGTATCACTTTCTTTATATAGGGCAATGGATCTGATGATCCACTATCAAGCGGTTGCTCCCATCCTCTCTATAGAGCATGATTGCCGGCAGCCTGTTGTTTCATGAAGCTAGCGAAGAATCGCGACATCTGCTCGTAGTCATCGACCTCTCCGACCCAGCTAACATACTGATCAGGGCGAATAATGACACTAACGCCGCGGTTCTGATCAATGCCATAATTGGCATAAGCTTGACCATGTCCCTCGTGATAAGACTCCTCATCGACAAAGACTTTCCAGTAATCCCATCCCATGTCACCGTGGTGGGGATGGAACGCCTCCGGAAGATCGAGAAGTTCGATATCTCTTCGTGATCCGGAATGAACCGTCAACACCTCGATCACGCTATCGATAGGCTTGTCTGGTGGTGTGAACTGGCGAATGAAGGAATCTGACCGTCCCAAAGAGGCGCCTAATCTTTCGAAACGTTCCGTATTTTGGGACTCGGTGAGTCGTCCAGGGAAAACTATCACACGCCAGCGCCCGTTACTCTTCAATAACTCCTGCAGATGCCATGGGCGTGCATCGGCATGATTCAAAACTTTGAAACTAGGTATACGTTTGCCGATATCAATCTTTGTAGCCAGCTCTGGCTTGCTGATGATCGCGTTATTGCCTTGTTCCGTGACACCCGTTACCTTTGCCACGAGAATACTGGCAGCATAGTTGACAGCTACAAAAAATGGAGTTAGTACTGGTGACTCCTCGAGTAATTTAATACGCTCACCTATGCCACTTGCAAACTCATTTCCTTTCTCAAAAGCCCTTTTGAATTCTTCCATGCTGACACCCTCTTCATCCATGATATCCTTGGCCGGGCGACCAGAGAAAAGTCGTGAAAAGCGGTGATCGAAAGCGATCAATTCCTGTGCGATTTGTTTCCTCTCAGACTCATACGTTTGGAGAATCGACGGTTCGCTAAGGCCATTTATCACATGCGCGAGCTTCCATCCCAGGTTATACGCTATTTGAAATGTGAGTATTAATATTAAGCACGCCGGTATGCAAAAACTTACTATCCTGCATACTGACATTCATACCCTGTCCAGCCTTGGGAGAGTGCGTATGGACAGCATCACCTGCTAGGAAGACACGATCACTTTGCGAAAATTTGTCACTCACTCGCTGTCCAATCTGATACGCAGTCCACCAGTCGCAATACGCGTAGTCGAGCTTATATGGGTGCACGATGCGCTGTGCAGACCTGAGGATGATCTCGGGGGTGATCCAGGAGCGATCAGCTTTGGAGCCATTCTTCTGACAATCCGTCGCCTGGAGCTGAATGTAGAGTCGAACAAGTTTATTCTCGCGGGGAATGACCATCAAGCTACCCGCATCCGCAGAGTGAATGGCGCATCGATGGCGAATATCAGGGAAATCCGTGATGGGGACGATGTCGAGCACACCCCAGATATAATCGGTTGAGCTACCTTCCAAGCTAAAACCAACCTGACGACGCACCCACGAGTGGGCACCGTCACAGCCGACCAGAAATTTAGCCTTGATGTGCTCCACTTGGCTGGGGGTTTCTTTAGCCTCTGTCGCCTGGATGAGGTCCTCGGTGTCATCAGCAACCAAGTTACTTCGGAAAAGGCCATCCTCCACCACTGTTTGCCGACCATCGGAAGATTTCTGATGCTGCTGCCGTTGCTGAGGCGTGGATTCTTCCTCGGCCAAGGTACGAAGTTTAACACAGATAGGATAGTCCTCGAAATTGCCTGCTTTTGCTTCGTCAAAATCGAAGGATGTGGGCAACACACCACGCTCAACACGGATGTCACTATGCTCCTTGATTGAATCGAGGAAGAACCGCTCGATGCGACCCTGGTGTAGCACGACCTGTTGGAAACGACTAATCCCCGGGATAGTGTCGGGAATACGATCACTTCGTTGAAGACGGCCATTTTTGTCAGGATTCCAAAGACATATCTCCAACATATGGTTTGCCTCACGCCATGCTCGGTGGGCAAAATCAAAAGAGTCAAAGATTTCCAGAGTGCGACATTGCAGACCATCCGCTTGGCCGTTGAAGACCTGCACTGAAGTCAGTATACGGGCAATTTAGTCCTCATATTTGTACCAGAGCGTACCTTTGAACCACGCTTGTCCACTATACGGGCTTTGACTCCGCAGCGGCTTAGCCAGTTGGCTAGCATGAGCCCCGCTGGCCCAGCACCGACAATGAGAACATCCACATAGTCCTCTTTATCTGGTGTATCGATCATGTTGAGATTGGGAATTTCAGATCAGACATGTGAATTTGATATCTTTTCACCATTCTGAACGGCCCTTAGAAAGTGGGGGAAGCGCTAGGAGGTTACCCCGCGACCCACCGGGGACCTGCTGAGATACTTCGTTTGATAGGTCGGGTGCTATTCCGGAAAGAATCTGAAGTTCTGATACTTTCGGATGCTGGGAGATATCAAAAATGGGCAGTTGCCTCCAAGCGTATACCCCTCGCGGGTACGGCACGACGAGCATCCACGTATATTACACGAGACACGTCTTATTTTTCGATCCAGTGCGGAGGTTCCTTTAATACATAAAACCCATGCCTCTAGCGAATCTCACAACTATATAGCCCAAATCATACTCTATAGTCCCTAAATATATATAAAAAAAGACTACTAAAAAGACCAAAAAGGCAAAATTAGGCCGTATAAGCGGGCGACTATCCTTATGGAGTATGCATACGGTAAGCAAGTTAGCACTCTACACTATCTGAACCATTTATTGAATGTTAGGTTGAAATTTTGAACGTGACAAGGACGCCCTTGTGATCGGTGGGCCACTCGTTATCGGAGTGGTCCGGCTCGGGCTTAGGGTCTCCAACCATGTAAGTCTCGGACTTCTCGGGAGTCAGGTTCCCCTTATAATATACAAAGTCGATGCGGTCCATGGGCTCCTTACGGCCATTATAATTCTCGTTGTTAAGGTAGATGGGAGACCAAGTGTTGGCCGGGTCAACGGCAGGATCTGGATGGAGCTCACGGTAGGCGTCGATCAAGCCAGCGTCAATAGGCACCTTGGAGGTGGGCCAGTCAAACTGTCCAATACCGCAGTGAGATGAATTTGTCTCATCAGTCCAGTCGAGGTGAGAGGGCGCGTTGAAGTCGCCGGTCAAAAGCACAGGGACTTTGTCGGCGTTGTCGAGAGCGTCCGCCATAGCGCCGACAATTTCTTCAATCTGTCGGATACGGCTGCCCCTCTTCTCGGTGTCCATTATGGCGTCGGCATCTTTTCCGTCGAAGCAAGGATCATAAGGCCCATAGGGGTAGGCGTAAGGGTGGCAGTTGTGGAGGATGACCTGATTATTGTCACCATCGAGAGCGACTCGCACAGCAACACTGGTTTCAGTGACTGCGCCGTACTTTGCTGATATGGGATAACGGCTGATGATGCTGGAGTCCCCGCCCTGCCACGATTGCCAACCAAGCGCGTCTGCAATCTGAGTTGCGTGGCCGTAGGTGCTTTCTTGGAGACCGACTATGTCAGCACCAGAATTGGCAATGGCCGAGATTTGCTTGCGGTTGTAGTCATTGACCTTGGTGCCTCCGTGCCAAAGATTTAGGGACAGAACCTTGAGTTCAGTGACAAGGGGTTTGCCAGAGGCAACTACTGGAACAATGACATCGACGGTGGCAGTAGATCTGTCGGACGCAGTAGCCCTAACGGTGATTTTAGAGCTACCACTCCCGGTAGGGATTCCAAAAATGATACCATCCTCGGATACACTAACCCAGTCGGCGTCAGAGCTTTCCTTGCTGTACTTGGTGTTGGGATCCGGGGCGTGGTGCAAAAGGCCGTTTACGCGAGCTTCGAATCTCTCTCCCTCGCGAGCATTTTTAGTCGTGAATTCTTCAACATTAAACGATATAGGTCCATCACCAGAAAGAAAAATATCAATGGGACCAGCAAGCACCCTGTATCCATTATCGGCCAGGAAGTAGGCTTTATAGGCGCCCCAGTTGAAGTGGGCGTCATCAATTCGCTTGGTTTCTTCCGGCTCACGCATCCAGTCCCAATATATGGGGTCCTCTTTGCCAGGACCCTCGCCATAAATACTGTAGATACCGATCCAGTTCTTCCTCGACAGTCGATCGGTTTTATAGTGAAATGTGAAGAAGGGACCGTCGACAAGTTCCAAGGAGCTGCCGCGCTTTGAGGTGGCAGATGGGCCAATGAGGGAAACCCCGGACAGAGCTCCAAAGAAGAAATCTCGAAAAAGCATGGTCTTTGGGGTTTCCGTCCGTAAAGGGATGAGAAAGATGATGGAACATATGTTTAAAAGGATGAAATATCACCTCTCTTGAACAAAACAAGTAAAACGCTCAATGTATCTTGCCTCTGAGCGTCTAAATTTCTGACGATGTGCTGGATCTTGCTTGGACAGCGAAGATGGCTTATGGGTATGGCAGAATGGGCAAATACGTGACTGCTAAAATTGATCGAGGCAGGTTAGAAATATTACTCTGTGCGTATATATGTTAATGTGGGATTTTGAGCTATCTCTACTAAAGACATCGACATGATCGCCTGGGCAACGGGCAGTGCTTATGCGCTAAAGTGGTCCCAACACCCACTTGACACTCATTGGAGTAGCTATTTTCTGTCGACACACCGGAGGATTTATTAATCTTCCATGTTTAATCGAGGCTCCATAACTAAGTTATCTACAACATATAATTTTTTAAGGAGAGCCGACAAGAAATACACTCGAACACCATTGATTGGACCCCCCTATTTTTTGCGATACGGCATCGGCATTATATGGCCTACCTTTTTTTTTCCAAATAAAAAAGTTGTTTTCAGGAAAATATCCAGGCGAGAGCTCTGCTATCGGTACTTTGTGTGTGTGAGGGAACGTCCTCTCATCACCAACTCCACAAACTAGGTAGACCCAGCTTTGCCGCTTCAATCTTGTTACACTGCAAACAATGTAGACTGGTACTGCCCTAGAGAAAGACCTAGGAGGGATAGACATTCTTCTTTCGTGACATTTCTCTTGGGGCTTCTCCCGCGGTTTTCCTCTACCGCAAGCATAGCCAGTCCTTGCTTGCAACCTCAGACATCCCAGCACTGCGTCGAACCTCAGCGATCGGACATCCCTCATCTTTGATGTCATTTAGTCTTACGTTGTTTATGAAGAAAAGCACGCCTAGCTCCGTAATAAATGCCGATTTAACCACAGCAAATTGCTCGTATATAGTGTTAGGAAGAACTCTAATATCATGCTTCCGTAAGAGTGTATTTCGGCGCTCTACCCCATCCTCTAATCTATATAAGGCGTCTACAGCGATTTTAGTGGGGGAGGATAGTAGAGAGGATAAGCCTTATACTAAAGGTTTTGAAGTCAAACCGTACTATCTTCTTCGAGTCGAGTATAGAAAGGAGATATACTATAAATAGGCGTCCTATAATTTCTCATAGGCACGAAGGGCCCGGCTAACTTGATGAGATCGACCCTCTTGACCCTGTTGACCCACCCGGAGGCCCTGCATCCGCGGCATCTACGGTCGCTTTCTGGCCCCCAGGTCAACGGGGTGAACAGGATTCGTCCGAGTTTCTCTGTCCTGGCACAAGCTATGCTTGGCCAAGTTTTTATGTTGTAGTTAGGTTGCATCCATTCCATCATACGTAGGAATTCTACCATATCCTTTTCGAGTTAAGATCAAGTTATAATCAATGGCGGAGGAATGCTCACCATTGATAGTACATTTAGTCGTGTATTCATCGAGTACTAAGAGAGGAATCCCACATGATTTTGACAGCTTGATGTTGAACTGACTGATGCATGTCCTATATCTAAGTCGTGGGCGCTGCACGAGTAGGCAGGTAGTCTTCACGGCACTACCGTTACAAGAGGGACCTCAATGCATCCTATTAATCACACCCCTGCTTCCTCTCTAAATTGCTGCCCATTGAGAAATGCACAGCGACTGAACAACTTTTCCCAATGAAGCGCTTTTTCAGCATCTGTCATGACTTCCATGTCAGCTTCAGTGGTGCTGTCGCTACATGTAGTGGATTCTGAACCATGAGGGCCACCAAACAGCCGCACTGAGATATGACTGGGCACCTCGCCTGTTGAAGATTTTGAAAAATGATTCGAGAAGGCAGGCGGCCATGACTGGAGTCGATCGTCCGCCCCTTTAGGAATGCCATGCACGAACTGAATAATTTTCCGGCTGAAGTCTCGGGCCAGCGCAAGCTGGGGGTCAGAATTGTCTGCACCAGCCCTTAAGTGGTCATTGTAGAATAGGTAGGGGATATCACTGAGATGAGCGACACCCCACATCGACACACCCATGGAATCAAAGACTGGGGTGTATCTGGTTTCGTTGAATTCATACAGCCGTACCTGGGAGGCTCCTACACCCCCATTTTTGACGTATTGCCACGTAAAATCAAGAACAGGGCAAGTGAACCAGATGTCACGATTTATCTGTGCAGCACGATAGTACTGCGGTGAAATTAGGCCCTCATGCTCTGACTTGATCATGTGTACGAAGTCATCCAGAGGATACAGGTGTAGGAGCTTCTCTTTCGTGGATTCAGAAACTTTGTGCAGCCATAGTCCGAAACTCCCTAGAACTTCGTAGTCTGTCGCAGTGGTCGGCAGTGCGTACCAAGCGCCGTCATTTGTGACCCAGGAAGCTATGATTGGTATTCCTTTGGTGAACTTTCCTGCGCGCGTCAACTGCGACGGTCTGTCTTGAATGAAGTCATAGTCGATCGTTGGGTAAAAGTATGCTTCGCCGAAAGGCGGACGGGCTGTCCGAGATGCAGTAACCGATAGGTTGGTTAGTTGTTCGAATGGAATACCCCGAAGGCACTCTAGTGTTTGCAAATCTTTGCCACCACCACATCCTACTTGTTGTGAAATAGCAGCCGTGTTACTTGCCACCAGGTCTGGCTGGCTGTTGAAGTTCAGTCCTGGACCGCCTGACATCATTCTAAAGCCCCGGATAAGCATTGGATAGATTTAGGTCTGGACTCGCTCACACTGCTTGCTGAAATGGGACATCTTGCTCACCACCAAAGGCCGTTAGCTGCAGCCCAATATCACTAGCCCCCACACTTTGTCCGATGACAGTCACTAGTAGATACTACGTCAGTATATCAGCGCTTAAATCTAGGAAATAGTAGTTAAGTATACCTCTGTTGGGGTCACCGCCGAATGTCTCAATGTTGTCGCGAACCCCTGATTGCTCTATATTTCAGCCTTTCATTGTGGGATCAAAGAGCACCGAGATACATACACTCTAAAGCAGCACGCTGATCCCGCAGCCCTGCATTTGTCTCTCTCCTCTCAATCAATGCTTCACTAGTTGCGAAGCCAAATACTGAGGTGTAATCAGTACACGGCCTTAGCGCAGAGTAACAGGGGCCCTTGATATATGACTTACAGCCCAAGCGATAATTTATGCCGACATATACTAGTGGCAGCCCATCAGCAGCAGCCAATTTTACCAAACCGTCAGGCTCGTAAAGAATATCAGAAGCTGAGCCCAAAGCATGGCCACCTGTCCACTCATTAGGTTCTTTGGCGCCCACATCCTTACAAATTGTAGACTCACCTCCATGGATCCAAACCGCAACTGGAAGCTTAGCATCTTTTTGCGTTCCTGGCGGTCTCGCAATTCTCAAGCTCAAACAGTTTTCGCTAATGTTGGTCACACTACTCGTGAAGGGAAGTACATCCCCCGTTCCTTGCGGACACCAGGCACCGGGCCGGGTGGCGTCAATAACAGACCCTTTCACTGGTCTTGTTCGAACCGGCGCTGCGAAACGTCGTGGGCCCGTGGGTGCCTCTGCGTAGAAAATGTTCTGAAAATGTTCAATTCCAGCAAGGGATAGACTGCCAAGGTAAGTGATATCTCGCGTAGAGTCCACTACCTTTAAGTTGGGAGTTAGATAAAATGTATCTAAAAGCTCCTGGTAATAGATTGCAATGATTGCCAGAAGCACGGCTACCATGGACGCAAACAGGCGGTTAGCCATGATGGCTAAAACGAAGTTGTCAGAGCCCCAAGATCCCTTTAAAAGCCTCACGATAGGTGAGTGGGAAAGTGAGGAAGAAAGCTGAAGAGTCGATGAGATACAATTGGGCTCTCTGGTAGGGATGATGTTTACCGCTTTTACTTCCAGGGTTACTGTGTTTGCTTACTTTGTTTACTTTGCTTAATTTGCTTACTACGTTTGTCTTGTTTGCTAGGTATACTTAGACTATCCACGAGATCCATCTCCAAGAATACCACACGCAGTCGCAGCGAAGATAAATAGTGGAACAGATAGTGCCACAAGAGCTTAGGAATCCCCGTCTCTATGCCACTAGATAGTGATCGATCTTTTTCTGATCTTAGAAAGCCGCCAGTTCAGAAACAGAGATATACCGGGTGCTGTGACTGCTTTAAGTAATATCTAGCTTTAACAAGATCATCATGAGCGGTGACACCGCTCAGCTACCTTCCACCGTGATCTCTCATAATGAAAACGAAAGTATTTACTCTGAATTTATCACCGGTCACTACGGCTATGCCTTGGGGGAATCGTTCTTCTTCATGTCCAGGTCGAGTTTGCTTAAGCGAAAGGCAGGAACGTCGGTGTTAAACCCCAGATATGTAAGCTTTATCGGTGGGTTCGTTGATGAACTTCTCGATAGATTTCCTAAGCTCATATCGGAGCACAATTTGCTACTCTCGTTCTACAACGAACGATGAATCTTTGCAGGTCAGTTAAAAAAAAAAAAAAATCAATATAAATCAGTGGGCAAGCCTAAACAAACGTCTTACTAGAAGCTGTAGAAAATCTTAGCAACGACTCGAGGGTCTTTTTGTTTGCTTCATCTTATACACTTGGTACCTAGGTACCTAAGTAGTAGTATGTTTCTGATATTCCTTCAGGTCATTGGCAAGGAAGTTCTAGCTTGCAAGATACTTCCAATTCGTTCCACTTCGGCAGCCAGCTTTGGATTGTCTTCAGCGGCACGTCTAAGGAGCATCGAGTACCGTTCCCTACTAACACTAGGAGTGTTATAGGATACTTCAATGCCGCGTCGGCGTAGATCAGCCCCCATAGCATCCATTCGGTCCCACGGATACACCTCATCGCTAATGCTGATGTACCCATCAACAACGGGGTTAAATGTGATTTCGATCCTCTCAAGTGGACATCCGTGTTTAATTGCCTTGCGTGCGAATAGTCGTAGCCAATCTTCTTCTGCTTGGCCAAAGTCGCGCAAGCTCTCACCGCATTGCTGATCTAGGAGTGTTAAGTCCCAGTGGAAGACACGGAGGCGCGGGGCAAGAAGGCTGTCAGGGGGCTCGCGACTTGCGTTCCTGTTGAAGAGTTGATGACCAGAAAAGTCGGACGCGAGGCTAAGTCTCTCGAGGTTTTCGAACTCGCGCAAGTCAAATCCATCGAACCCACTCCTGTGAAGGCCGTATAATTTGATCGACCGAAGAGTTTTTCGGTGAATGTACAGAATTGGTTGCAATGTTGCTAGGCTCCAATCACTATAGAGCCCTGAGGTCGCGAAGTCATCCCCAGATGAATATTTCAGCTCAAATTCCTCTAGACGTCGTGGCCAACGGACGAGTGCTTCGAGGGATTTTGGAGTCAGGAGAAAGCTGCGCAGCTGAAGTTTCGTGAACGGGGCCGTTCCTGCTTTTTCCTATAAAACATGCACTCTGTTAGTACATCGGCACAAGTTTGATAGAACCGGGGTACTCAAAATGCATATACATACCTTAAGTTCTTCCTGGCATATCTGGTCTCCGTAGATGGAAACACCTCCCAGTTTTAGGGTTTGGAGATTGGGGAGAAATCCAGACTTGAAATCACCCAATGCATCTATTACAAATGGTAGGTGAAGGTTATAGCGGTAGTTGGCGTCTAGTGAGAGAATATTACAACCAGATATGTGCTCGGTGGCCAATTGGAGCAGCTCCCATGCCTTCTTGCCCTCCAACCCCCAGAAGGTCAAGGATTTGGCGGCAGTGAGCCAGGTTAGACAATCTGTTACAGCGTAGAGATGATCGATGTTTGATTTGTCATAGGTCACTGTGAGGTGTCGGCAGAGTTGCCACAGCAATGGATTCTCTCTGAAGGTGCGATGAAGGTACTTGGAAATTTGCGTCGGTCGTCTCCAAGTGTTATCGCCAGTGTTTATCACCAACTCTGCGTACAAGTACGGCACAGTAATGCGATGAAATCGTTTACACACAAGAGAGAGTGCAACGGCCATCTCGTAGGGTTGATAAAGCTCGCGTAAATATTCGTGGTCATCGATAATTGGTGTCATGGGACTAATAATCATACACAAAAGCTCGTCGGGTAATTTGAGAATGAAGGCCCGGTCTAGAGAAGTGTGGTTGGTATCCATGATCGGTACCCTTGATACTGTGAGATGTGCAGAGCAAACTGACTTCCAAAAGGTGGAGAATATGAGGGGAAACCCCCTGTTGAGCCTCACCGTAACTTCCACGTTTTGAGTCGCACTTGCTTTGGTGCCTTGCTTCTAAGGTTACAACATCTAGTTAGTTGACTAGGTTAGTTAACTAATCCATGGATGTAGTTATCTAGTTACATAAATAAAGCAAGGAATAACTAACTACTTAACTATCCTGATACAATTAAAACACCAGCAATCACCACAGGCATGGATGGATAGTCTTTATATTCAGACCCTGCAGAACCTCTGTCTACATCATTTTCTCCGACTCACTTCTCATTTCAATCGAATAGTCTGTGCTTACACTTGAAACCCCTTCAGGAACATAAGAATTCCACCTTCATGCATATTGGTTCTAAAGAATGAAATGAAACCATTCCAATGTACCACCAAATATAGAGTGTTTGTATGTAGAGTAAACTAGATCACGTATACAACTGTTAATGTTACCATCACTTCCCCTTGTTGACCTCGATGTGTTTGCCAACTGATTCTAATCTTTACCTTAAATCTCTCTTGCCCAACCAACTCCAGACGCTGTTCTTTCAATCATCTACTTCTTATTCCTCTTTCCTCCGCTGTCACTCTTCGGTCCTTGCTACACATCCCCCCTGTTACTCAAGATGGAGATAACCAAGTTCCCAAAGAGACCCACGCTTCGATGGGACCGACACAAGCGCCTGGTGCTTTGTTGTTTGTGTCGATTCTTTGTTTGTAACAAGAAAGAAATCGAAGAAATATTCTCCTACATGTTTCGAAGTCACCTAAACGAGCGCGGTATTCAAGGCTTTGTTCCATTTACCACTCTCAACACCCAGTGGGTTTGGATGAAGAAACAACGTGATCCAGTTTATGTGAATATCAGCACCGTATTTGAAGCCGATGGCGAATGGAAGGAGATTATTACAAAGATTAAATCTGCAGCCAAAACTTTGCGGTTCGAGCTCAGTGAGAAGATGGAGGATGACGCCAACACTTCGTGCCAGAGCTCTTTAGGGCCCGATAACGAGCGGAATACTACATCCGTTAGTTCATCTCGGACATATCCAATTTGGGATTACAAGCTGACGATTCATTCTCTTAGAATGGACCCGCCCCGCCAATACTTCCCCACTCGTTGTCTACTCCAGAAACCGACCCGATAGTATTGATATGCCCGACCCGGGATCATGTTTTCAATGGAAGATCTAGAGACAACCAAAGCGCCGACCAAGCCATTGACCTCTGCATCGACCAGAACATTGGTCAGCAGAACGACATACACAATGACACTCCTACTGGACTCCATGGGTCCACCATGCCAGTCGTCACTACCCATGGCAAGCTCTGCCTCTGGTGTGGACATGAAGGAACCACCTACGAGACCGAGGATATCCAGGAACTGCAAAGCGAAGACTACAACCACGAGAGTGGATATGAGGATCAGAGCCATGGCAACCAGCATAATGACCGACAAGACGATCCTATTATGAGAGAGTATACCCAGGGATTCAAGCAGTCTATGAGGGAGCTAGACGGTGAAGTGCCCTATTCGGGTGAAGAATTGTTTGATTCAGAGAGCGAGCATCTGATAACACGCCAAGAAAGCCCCTCAAAAGTGCGCCCATTTTTCGACCCACGCTTATCTTTGCCTTCAGACTTGGAACAAGGGCTCCTAGATTTTGAGGATAATCCAAACTGGTGCGCTGATAGACGAAGCCCAGCTGATTTGGCTGATTTCGGGACCCCTTCGATCTCAATGGAAGACCGGAGCGGTGCCCTTGACGATGATCGAATTTCCACACAAAATTCTCTTTCCAACTTCCGTTTCCCCCATAATCGCCCGGCTCATGATGACGGCTTCGGTGGTCAGAGGGTGTTGCAGTATGAGTGGTCCTCAAATGATGAAATGAGGGTGGAAACCCTACGTCAAATGTCCGTGGAAGCTCTTCGCCAGGTTGAAAACCAGTCAACCACTCACTTTGCTCATCAGGAGGAGATGGATGTATTGATGTATGACGGCAATACCTGGAACCAGGTGTAGGAAGAGTGAGGTGGATACTACATAATGGTGTATGAAGTCAAGTGTCTCATAGTTGACATCAACATATCAATCCAAAATTGTATTAATCAGATGCCCGGTTTAACCGTGGGCCTTTCTGCTGTAGGCCACTGAGAAAATAAGAATTAAACCATGTTGGAATTTCTTTATCAAGACGCTAACCTTGAATCTCTACCATAGCACGTGACCGGTAGTCCCCTCGCCAGATAATAACATCTGTCAGACTAGGATATGGCCCCCCTAGGCCCTAAACAGGAACCGAGGTTTTGTTATGGTCTAGTGGTAAAATAAGCTGTATTTTCCCCACAAAATCTTCTGTTTCTCTTTGCTGTCATCGCAATACTCTCCCTTGGATTAATCGACCCCCACTGTTTTCTCCAAGCCGGGAACTAGCGCTGTTTCTACTTGGAAATTGGGTTTTGCCTGGGGATAGTTACACAAAGAAGATGAATTTCAACATTGATACTCTTCTCCTGAAATCTCTCACGCCAAGATGCCTTCCAACTCGAATCCGCAGCTTCAAATGCCGGGGTTTAATATAGATTTGAACTGTGCGCCCAATGTGAGAAATGAACTTTTTTTTTATGACACCCGCTAACAGGCTAGCCAAATATTTTCGGTATGGGAATCAATGGGTTTCGGAATAGTCTGGATAAGGATCACCATGCATTTGGCTGCATGTAGTATGTTTCGTTGGTGTGTCTGCCGGCGCTGTCTCAAAGTTGACGCAGATTCTCTAGTGACCTGATTACTCACCGAGAGATTCTCATGATGCGTGTCATGAATATGATTACGGATGAGCCCGGATGGGATCAAAAGGTGCAAAGTTCTTATCGCTATTTCTTGCCTTATTTCTAACATCCTACAGGTCTTCGATGAGGATGACACGGCTGAATTGCGGAATAAAATCTTCCGCCTTGGACAGTACGTGACTCCGAAGATGATGGATTGGATTATCAAAGAGCTTCGATGGAAAGCCGGCGTCTTCAAAGAGAAAGGCCTTGTCCATGTATTTGATGTGGGTGTGATTAAGTCCGATACCGCCGTGTCAAAAGAACTACAGCAGGCATTAAAAGAGGCCTTGCAGCCTCTCGAGAACATTCCAGAGGGCCAGAAAGACTATCACCCGGGATCTGACAACAAGATGGTCAATTAGTGAACCCCTCGCTATTCCCGGTAAGATACGGCCAGACTCATGTTCTCGCAAATCGAACCATCGACCCTAGATGACTGCCTAAGCAGTGTGGGACAGGGAGACTTGATCCCCGTTCCCTCCAGCGAGAACTGCCGTCCGCTCAATAAATACAACGAACGCCACCCTCGCATCCCGGAGATTCCAGTCTTCAGCGAAAAGTTCCAATCGCTCCCGTGTGATGTGGAACTCACTCATGACGCCGGCTGCAGAATTGTCTCGTATATCAACAATGTCCATCCCATCGACCATAAAGGGCTATATGACGTGGTTGAGAAGATCATCGCCCGTGCAATTCCACTCTGGGATCAGAGCTTAACAGAATTCTGTAGCAACAGAATAAATTACCGGGATGTCAAATTCGGTGAGCATACGCAGCCTGAACCGACTTGGCCTGAGAAAGACAACAAAGATGAGCAATACGAGGCTGAACAGAGGTTCTGGGAACACAAATGGCAGTGGGAAATTACCCATCCTATTCTACTCCCTGAACCGCAAGAATTCACTTTCCCTGGACAATGGCGCAGGGTCAATCTACGGAATCAATTCCCCAAAACGAAGCTGCAGGTCATTGTGAAGTTGACCAACATCGAATTGGCCACTAACAACCCCGAGTATGAAGGGGGATCATGGCACCTCGAGGGACAGCAAGTGAGTGATTCGTCCCCCTATCCAGCTCCCCGTTCAGTTACCTATTCATCTCCCCGTACTAATCCAATCAGAACGAGCGTATTTGTGCCACCGCGATCTACTACTACGACAGCGAGAACATCACCGAGGGGACTCAATGTTTCCGTCAACATGGAATGGACAACATGATAAACATCAACTACCTTCATGGGCGGGACCAGTTCCTACAAGCGGTGTACGGCTTTGGCGATGACGTCCGGGGCAGTGGCAACACTAATGTCACACAAGACCTTGGCGGAGTCATCTGCCAGGAAGGCCGACTCCTCACGTTCCCTAACACCGTCCAGAACCGAGTTTCCCCGTTCTCGCTGGCCGACCGATCCAAGCCCGGCCACCGTAAGATCCTCGCGTTATTTCTAGTAGATCCTCATCGGCGGGTTATCTCCTCTGCCAATGTGCCTCCGCAGAGGGAGGACTGGGGTGGTCAGAGGCAGCAGGCTGTGAATCACGTGCTGTCAAGACTACCGTTGGAATTGCAGTACATTGTTCAGAGCTATATTGACCCCCTAATGACCATAAACGAGGCTAAGGCGCACAGGTTGGAGCTTATGAAAGACCACGGGCTCAAATCGGAGAGACTCAACCAAAATTTTGAGACGGGCAACTTCCGCCTCCAGTAGGGGAACACAAAAGCGAGTTCAGTTCAGAAGTTATGAGAAAGCAGTAGAAGACAAGTAGCAGTAAATATTTTAATCTCGCACATAGTAAGTCGGCACCCGCGCGTACGAGAACGAGAGAGATAGATCGATTTAAGAAAATCCATAGAGTAACAAACATCAACGTTGGTCCGGTTCTATCCACAGCTCATCCTGTTCAACTGGTTATATTATCGATTTCCCGGACGGGATATCCGGGTTAAATTGAGGATGGTTTCCGATGCTCTCGTATTTATGTGCAGTCGGCAACGGCCTAACCATTTGCGCCTGAGTCGCGGTTGGAAGCCTCGGGCCACGCATGAGGGGATTTGTAGGATTGTAGTCATATATCCACAAACGATTGGAGTTATCGGGTGCTGTTCCTGTGTAGAACTTCCAACGCATCCAAGGTCCATTCAGGCGTTTTGTTCCCCGTCCAGGAAGAACGACAACCGGTATCGAGTCCCAACCGGCTGCCATATATTGTTTCTCTTTCTCATCCCACATGTTCACTTCTAATTCTCTTACTAGCATGGCTTTCTTGCTCCCATCGCCCAAAGTTACAACTAGCACACCCAAAATTCGAGGTAAAGGGTGACTAACGCCATTGGCTTGTAGATTGGTCCTCAGCCGGTTCACGTCCTCGTCATACAGGACCATATAATCGGCTCCGGTATCATCCTTGAACTGGAATTCAAAGGGCCCAGGTTGTGTTTTCCCGCCTGTCATGGGGATCCGAAGAGCAATTGACGTCTATTGAAATGTTAAAACCAGTATGTGGTATTAGAAAGTTGTATAAACATACCTCGGCTGCCCACTTTCTAGACCCCGTTCCACATTCGATGACAGCTTGTTGACTACTAGGTCCAGGCCCGTCAATCTAAATAATTTAAGTCAGTCTCTTCTATCTCCTAATATCGGGCATCTGAAAGGCCTTACACCCTCCACCCAAAATCCCGACTCATTTCCCTTGTGTGCATCATAGAGATATTGGAATTCATTCCACTTGAAAGGCCTTGGTGCGCAGAGCTGAGCTCCGTTGTGCCAATAGGTGACAAACCCATGACACCAGTTCAAGACACCCGATCGGTAGGCTAGTATGACATTTTGAATGTTTCTGGCGATATTGTATTTGTCCTTGATGCCATTTCTCTGAGTCCATTCCAGGATAGATTTCAGATTCTCCAGGCGTTGCACGACAGGCCAATTTAGCCCGTGTTCTGCAGCCAACTTTTTACTAAATAGGACAAAGAATTTAGTAATTGCCAATATATTCACATCGAGTTGTATGATGACTGACTCGCGTCCCTTCAGCTCTACTAGGAACTCCTCCAATTTATGTTCATAGACATGAGGCATGATGTTCTCCTTAATCCGCTCGCGGCATCTTGTGATTTGAGACTCCAGATCACTATACAACAATTAGTAGTTGTATTTCCCGTATCAACTAGTTGGAGCTTACTCGTTAATCAGATCGGGCTCTCTTGGATTCCAGCCTTTGGGTGCCTTCGCTCGATCCGTAATGGGAGTCTTTACCGGACGCCATTTCTGCTTGGGAGGTCTTGGTGGCATAGGTTCAAGCTTCTTTTTAGAATAGTCGGTTTTCAGATCGGTCAAGAAAGCCTTCACATCCAAAGATTTGGGTTTATGCTCCTCTTTCCTTTGTTTCTTTTTTACGGAGCCTGACTCTGCCTGCGAATAATCCGGTGCTCTCCTCTTTTCCTTTGGTCGTATAGGGAGATCGCCTTCAAGTTGACCTCTAACCGCTTCATTGCGCTGCTCTTGCTGTTTTTCGCTAAAGAAACCCTGAGGTTTTCGGCCCCGCCGGGGAGGTTTGCCATCGCCCGGGTTGTTGAACATTTTAAAATAGAAAGCAGATGTGTGATGGATGGTATTTCCTAGAGACATAGAGGACGAAGCAAGAGACAGACAAACCATGAGCACGAAGGGTTTATCGATGTATTTTGCATTCAATTGGCTTTCTTTGATGGAGATTCGTTCGAGGTGCTTCTTCGACTTTTCTTTGTGCCCTTTTTATACGAAAGGATATGGTGTTGCAATTGGCAACCCAAGCCCGAGTCTCGATTCTTTGAAGCTATAAAAAGCAGCTGTGTTTGCACTAATCCCCAATCTTTGTCCCTGTCGGACCAGATACCGGCGCGTAAGGCATACTTCGAAGCTACCCAGATGTTAGGATTGTCCCAACCAAAGTAGAGATAAACCCAAGAAAATAAAGCGGGAAATGAATGGGGAAAAAAGAAAAAAGAAAACATGCAACGACGGCTGCATGAATGCGCCCGCGAACGGAATTAATTTCTAGTCAATCGCCTTAGACCACTCGGCCAAACCGCCATTGGAGATAAATTGGCCAAGAACGGCATCGAATAGCAAACACTAAAGGTAAGCATAGTCTGAATATGTTCAAATGAGTGTCAGTACGAATGTATCCCAGTGACGCATAATATTCCCATTGGGGGGAAGGGGGGAATTTTTTTCTGATTTGCAAGAGCCAAGTATTTGGTACAAGTCCAAAGAAGCACTCACGGTGTCGTGCAGGATCGGGGGGAAGCTTTTGATGGAGTCATTGGCATTGATATACGTGAATGAGGTTGGGCCGCGCTGTTCCAAAGCGGTCGATAATCTTTATTGATCCTCTCCGGGGCTCCTCAAGTACTCTGGTCCTGAACAGGGCGGGTAAACTTGGTTAGGTAATCAGCTGTCCACTCCAGGGCTGCAGAGCCAGGTGCACAGAGTCGCCATGCGAAGACAACCTTAGAGCTGAACTCCTTGCGGAGAGAACGGCGAGGAATTGAATTGGGCGAGTGGGAGATACAAAGGGAAGAGAGGTAGGACTGGTGGTCACGATGTAAACGCAACAATGCCCAAAATAAAAATCAAACTGGACATGACTGGAGGATGTTAAACATGAAAAGGTCAAGCATGAAGAGAGTGAGCTTGGTGTTTTGAATAGATGAATATATGTACACATGTTTCACGTTTTGTTCATCAAGAGGTCTTGACCAACGCAAACATAAATCTCGCGGTAGACCTTGGAACCTCGACCCCGTGAAGGAAATTTGTCATGTCTCTTAAACACACGATTCCAATCTGACTCATGTGGAACCAGATATGTCAAATTCTCTCAACTGCTCCTCAAACTTCGCCCACTGGCCCTTCACCTTACACGCGGAGGTCCAGTAGTTTCCCTTGTCGTCCTTCCCGAGGATAAAGAAACCATCCGCAGGCTTCACAGGGCCGTGATTCTCCTGAACATATGAAGGCCTGCATGGCAAACCATCATCTCTTGGGCCCTGGCGAGCCGGGGAAAAGTCCAAGTCGAACAAGCCAGCTTTCGACCAATTGGAGAAACCGACTTGGGCCATGCCGCCATCCCCAAACACGACAATGGGCAGGCCGGTCCCGGAAGTGCGAACCATGGAGTAGTATGCCTCGTGTTGAGCACGCGTACCCTGCTCGTTAATGGCGCGCCGTACCTGCCGTGCGAGCCAGCTAAGCGGCTTGGAAGCTACGTCGCCCGCCGTAACAAGTACATTGGCCCAGCCGAAAGCGTTGCCGACGTAGGGTTGTTCAGTGGAGGCTGGTAGGAGGTCACCTTCGAAGGATTTGCGGAGCGACATGGCGATTGATGCAGCTACCTAAAGAGGGAGTGATGTCAGTAACTCATTTAACAGGTACATATATCAGAACTTACCGTTCTCTCGGGGTTCATCCCCATCTCGCCAACCACACAGCGTAAGATCCAGGCCGTCAGAACATCATTCTCAGTCAAAAACACCTTTGAGGCGTCTTCGCCGTTCGCAATAGCCTCAGTACGAAGCTCCTCAACAGCCTTCTCCCATTGTGGCCGCCAATACGTCTCCGGAATACAGACCATGCGGTTCTCCTTGGCTCGGACAAGCATATCGACCCCGTAACCCAAGCCCCACCGCAGCAAACCTGCCAGCCCGACTCTCCTGTCAGCCAACACGTGTTCCTCGGTGGTGGGACGCGATCCCTGGGCGAGAGAGTGGAATGGATCCAAATCGAGACCACATGGGGTCAATACTTCGGCTGCTTTCCCCCAAAGCATGGAACTCCATCCCTCGACAACATACTGCATACCCAACGCATCGAAGGCAACATGCTGCCACTGCAGCACTACAATAGTCTTGTCGGTGAAAGAGTTGACGCGCAGCCCTAAGACAGGAAGGTCGGAGGTGAGATAATCATTTATCCCGTTGGGCTTGTAACCGGGCTCCCACGCCAGGCCTTCGAGATTATCCGGGTCACCGACGACAGAGGGTCGATCATGTGGCCTCGGTACCCGGGAGGCTGCTGGATGTGAAGCAGCGGGCATGCCATGGTCGACATGCGCGAAGGAGATTGCTGGTCTCTCGGCTGAGAACTCTGCTGGAATGTGCCATTCAATTTTACCAGATGCCTATTTGGTAACATCGGTTGTGTTAGTATACACTTGTGGGGAATTTTTTTACGTTTATGCAGCTTCGAATTTGCCCGGATATCGTCCATTCTTACGTTCTTCCTCAGTCTTCCTCCTAGCCTTTGCCACCCCTCTTGCTTGACCAGGCTCTCAAGGGACTCACGCAAACTTTCTGGGTCGAGCACTGCATCAAACACGAGCGATACAGCCATGTTGTTACCCTGTACAAGCAGACTATCCTCAAAGAAATGGAGTGGCACAACTCGATCGCCTGGAATTGGCTCCATGGTGGGCTGACGCCCAAACGGAAATTTCATCTTGTGAATTGGTCTATCACGGACAGAAACCAGACTACCTCAAAGAAAGATCACCTCGGACTTCTTGCTCCGGAGAAAGAATCATAACATGCATTATTCAGCTGACAACCCCTATTCCCAGATACAGCCAAAAAGATGGCGTGGGGGACTGTTTCGTGTTTTCTCTAAAGGCTAGAGCTAATGCACACTATATTAGTGTCGATCTCCACTTGCTGTCAATTTTCTTGAACAATTGACGAGTCTTCTCTCCTAATATTCTCCGCTAGCGTGGAATAAGTACCATTTGTGGGAGATATGGAACAATATCGTTGTGATAGGTCAAGAAAGGACCATCTACGGCAGTTAGCTCTGCTCGAAGGATGAACTAAAACAAACTAGCCCCCAATTAGGTTTTATGATTCTCCAATGTTATTGGTTACGGTTATTCTTTTGCTGCCGTTCTGGATCCCCTTTGACAGGCGGTTAGGCCGCATGGCGGGAAGTTACCGACACCTGGAATTGATGCAATATAGAGGGAGAAGACCCAGATTGATATGGATTGAATTAACTCCACAATCGTACACAATCAGATATGGATCTGGCTACGACCCCGGGAATGTCACCCCCAGACGGCCAGGAATCGCATTTCCATGAGCCCTATAACTCGTTGCAAACAGGCACTGTCATCGCCTTTGCCATCACCTATCTCATTGCCACAATTTTCCTTGCTCTTCGCTATTTCCAGGCTTTCAAGCTGGCCAAGAAAATCGAGGTAGACCTGAGTATGATACGAACCTCCTCGAGAATCTGCTAGACACTTATCTATGCTACACTCGATAGTCACTATCACGATTTCCTATGGCGTTGCGCTGGTCTATTTCGTGACTGTGGTTAACTGTAAGTCTTGCATATCTTGTGTTTAAGCTATAATCTGACAAAAAAAAAATATAGTAATGAACTATGGCTGGGGGAAGCACATGTGGAATGTTAGCCTGGAGGATCTCGTGGAGTTCAATAAAGTGAGACTTCTTTCCATATTTTGGAGCACCCTGGCTAACAAGAAGCAGCGATTGCTCGTCAATACGTTGACTTATTTGATATGTCCAAGCATCACCAAGATGGCTATTCTATCTGTCTTATTTCAAATCAATCCCGCAAAGGTATACCGCTACCTCGTCGTGGTTGTCGCAGTCACAATCTTTGCATACACCCTGACATTATGCATCATCACCGGAGGACCATGCAATCCCCTCCATGCGGGAACTACGGCGTGTCTAGAAAATGTCGCCCTTTCTCAGGCAGTTCTGAATATTGCCTCTGATTTAGCTGTTATCGCCATCCCGATCCCGACGATCCACGGTCTACATTTCTCAGCGAAACAAAAACTCACGGTCGGCTGTCTATTGGCTCTGGGATCTGGGTACGTATTTACTTATCTCTTGACATATCTGTGCTATTCCATCTTTTCTCTAGAAACAATCCCCGCTAATTTCCACCCCGCAGCGTCATCATCTGCTCAATCGCACGCCTACCGTACGTCTTACTCCTCGGCAAAACCGCGGACACAACCTATACCGAAGCGATTCTAGGAGTGTGGTCCCTCGTCGAGGTCAATCTCGGCATTATTTGCGCCTGTGCAATGCGGTTCAAGCGCCTGATCGAGGTATATCTACCGCGACTTTCACTGTTCTCGTCACGCTCGCATGGAGCTGCGAAAATCGCAGAGGACACACCTATAATAAACAGGTTCCAGCCTCAAAATAGTGGAGGGCAGCACTCGTACCAGCTGCACAGCGTCCACGATGGGCACGTCAATCCGTTTGCCGGCACAAAAGATATCTCCGTTCACCGATCGTTCCACGTAGATGAAGAACGCACACACGTGTATCGCGGGAGCAATGACAGCGATGACAAGATTTTGGCTTGAGGCATAATATGTCAACTGGTATACAGATTTTATTACTTCTCACCATCACGTTTTTATGAGTTATTAGTGTGTACGATGTAAAAGTTCACGGAAATACTCGTGTGTCCCACAAGGGGACATCCGCCAATTGAGATCAGCACGAGATAAACAAGACCATGGACAACGAAGTAAATGATGGAAGTTTGATCTGCTCCCCAGATTGATAACATGCCTCTTCTGTGAAGTGGGAATGTGGGAATGAGCTATGTTGCTACGAAATATGACCATTGGTACATGAGATGGGACTAAATAATGAATAGGCATGAGCTCCAGGACTCAGTTGCCATCTAGCACATTTAATCACCGTCGAATTACTAAGTTTGCCGATACAGTTAATGAAGAGAAATACCAACAAGAAAAGAATTCCCATGCGTGCAGCAAGCTATCGTAGTAAATTAAAAAGCGAACCCCATCTATTCATCCCCAGACAAGCCACACAACTCACCAGAATAAGCCCGTTCATCAGAACTCACAAAGAGAGCATTATCATCCCCATCGCTCAATTCCAACGGATTCTCAGGGCCACCCTTGAAAACACTAGGAGACTCCTCATCCTCCAAATAATAACCACCAAGACCCAAAAGATTCTCCCTCGCCCCCCTCTTCTCCAGCATTATCCTGATCTTGCCCATAATATCGTCAATTTGAGTAGAGATATTGTCCAGCTCATGGTACATCTGACGCGCCAGCCAGGTCTCACCCTTGCCCCCATGCTGGCTCCGGATGCGCTGGTCGTACTGCGACACCGCGCGCGAAACCGGGGTGTACATAGCGGAGATTTCCTCGTGCTCCTCGGGCATGTAGTCAGAGACTGGCTCGTGGGAAGTCTCCTTCTTGTCGGAAGGGTAATTGAATAAACTCCACTCCAACCCCCGAGGGACGATGAACTCTGAAGGCGGGATGTCTGGGAGCTCAAATGGGTTTGTGGGCTTGGTAGAAGCAGTGGCCTTTGCGGCCTTCCGGTCTGACGACGACTTGGGTGAGAGTCCACGTTGAGTGCACTCGGGAGATGCGCGCTGCTGCATTCCATGTGACATAGCAGACTTGGTTGCACTGTTGTCACTCTTGTGCTCCTTGTTGGGTGAGCGCTTGTGCGATTTCATGGAGGTCTTTGAGTTAATCGACGGCGCCGGGGGGGTGGTCTCCATTGTGGAACTCATCCTCAGGCGCTTGGCCTTAGATCCAGCTCCCCTTTTGCGTTTCTTGGTCTTAATTGTCTCAGAGGGGCTGACATCGAGGAGATCCTATAGTGCATATGTATATCAGTATCTTTTTTTATCATCCGCAGGCTGTGGGGATGTGGTATTCAATATAGATCCATGGATAGTATAAAGGCTGGTTTAAGTGGTGCAAGTGTGTAGTCGTGAAATCAGACCTTCACCTGTTTAGCATGGGTGGGATCTTTGAGGCGGGCTGAAGCCTGGACTTTTTCCTTTGGAGTGGCTGGCATCATTCTAGTCAGATTGGCGATGAAACAGGGACATCAAAGATTTCTATTGGGCAGAGGGGATGAAGACACAGAGATGGAGAGGGATGGTGGATCGTTGTGCAAACAGAGTAGTAGCATCAATTTATAGAAGTGCATAGCAGAAGACGACAAATGAGAACGGCAAATAATGTCGACAAACACTCCGGTATCAAATTCGATGTAGTATCAGATGCATGTGTACTAATCAAGGTGGCGAGATGTGATGATAAGTGATAATTTAGGTTGGCTGGAATGCACATCAAGTACAAGTAGAGTATTGGATTCCACAAGGAAAAGTAGAAAGTAAAAGATCATGCTTGATCGAAGATGTGAATATAATAAAAAGCGTTATGTCCAGGAGAATAGTGCGCAAAAATCAACAAAAGATAAGCTCCACAAGAAAGGCAGACGTGAAAAGATAACCCAAAAGGGCTCATTATGTATTATCTAAGACGTAGACAAGACATATACACCAGAAGAAGAACCCACAGCCGTAAACACCCGATAGCATCGTGTAGAGATCATCAAAAGTGACAACACCCAGTCACGATGCTATCTCTTCATGATACCATTGACACACTCAACTGATTTACAGAAGGAGGGCAACGGCACCGAAGACGGCAGCCAGACCGGCACCAGCACCGGTAGCGGCGTTGATGGCACCGGCGTTGAAGGCGGGCTGGGAGGGGGTGGCAGCGCTGGAGGGAGAGCTGGGCACACCGGTGGGGCCAACGCCGGGGACCAGAGGGGTGGAGGTGGCGACGCTGGGGACGACGGGGATGAGGGGAACGCTGCTGGAAGCCACGGGGGTGGAGGTCACGGCAGCAGCAGAGCTAAGGAATGTTAGACTGGATTAATTGGTCAAATTGGGAGAGGACTTCTTACCAGGACTTGCACTCAGTCACGGTGGAGGTCGAGATGGGACGAGTGACGGTGTAGGGACCGTGGGTCATGGTGATGTAGCCGGGCTGGAATGCTATTAGTATGGGTATTGTAGACTTGCTAAGGTAAACATACGGTGGCAATGCTGTAGGTCTGGCTTCCGTGAACAATGGAGGTGGCCTCGGGGCAGTAGGTGGTGTACTCGGTAAGAGTCTCGGTGACAACACCGGCCATGGCACCAGCGGCACCGAGAGCGAGAGCGGCAATAGAGAAACGCATTGTGATAGAGTTGGTAGAGATGGTTGGATTTCGAAAAAAAAATTGTTCCGAGATAAGGTTAAAAGAATGACAGGGTTTAAAAGAATGTAATCGGTTGAAAACCGGGGATTTAGAGAATGTATGCGTGGATGAAGAAGAGAGAGGGAAAAGGGGAGACAGGAGAGTTTATAACCAATCCTGTAGATTAATTAAATGAGATTCAGGTACCCGTGCCCAGGCCAGGGAACTGGGCCAAAAAAAAAAAAAAAAAACGGGAAAAGGGGCAGAGACAAGTGGGTGGCAATAATAAACAATGAATTGGGTAACTAGAAAAGGTACATTAGTCCTATACCTAAATTACTATAGAGACCAAAGTCACTTCCCCCCCCTTCCCCTCCTTACCTCTAAGGGCACGCCCTTAGTAACCCGTTCAACGTGCGTGGCTCGGATCCTTTCCTATTTGGGCCCTGATTGGCTGCTAGGGTTCGACTAATTTCCTGGGCACTGGCGATTATAGTTCTAGGTGTTTTGATCAACTCGTTTATGTTAAATTTTTATATTTTTATATTTCTATATTTTTATATTTTTATCTTTTATATAACTAAAAATTAACACTTCTTGCATCAGACCTTTTTGGGCTTAGTTACTTCCTAGGTAGCCTTTCAAAATTGGAAAGTATGCTTATGCAAGAATCGGGCCCTGCTCAGGTGTACTCGGTACGGACCTGTTGACCGCCCTGTTGGCTCTCGGAACTTTGGAACAATCTGAGAAGCCTTAAGCCTTGACGGCCTTGGAAATCCATTACGGTTTATCGGGCTTCTCGAATGGTCAAAAATATCAAAAATGAGTCTCCTAGATCTGCCACTTGAGATTATCCACCTTATTTTCCAGTCCATACCCGACCAATGGGGTCTCTATAGTCTCTCTGTCCTACAAGACCCCAACTTTGACCCTAATCCACGGGGTTTCTCCCTTGACCTGTGGTCTCTTAACTCTTTTGTCCAAACATGCAAAACGCTATACGTGTCTCTGAACCCCTTCCTCTATCAGGAGGATGCTGAGTTTTACTCCAACCGTGCCCTGCGATGGGGCAGCAGAAAGTGGCAACCTAGCAACTGCGCGGCTCTCACTCAAAGCGAAGCTCCCAGAGGAAAGATACCACAAAAGATGGGAGTACTTGTACGTGGCTACATATTATAACCAACAAGCCATCGTACGCCTTCTACTGAAGCATGGTATCGATCCCAATCGGGTTGCATACTGGGATACTGAGGTGGTCGACGGCGGGGATTCGAACAATCTAAGTATCAATCTGCTCGAGGAAGCCACGTACGGGGGCTCTGTGCCAATCCTTGAATTATTACTTGATCATGGGGCGGTTACTGACCATATAACATTCATGTCCATGCTGCGACACGCAGCGGGAAAGGGACACCTTGCTATTCCCAAGCTTCTTATGGAGAATGGCTGTGGTCTTGGATCGATCGATCCTGCGGAACATCACGACGCTCTATGCAGAGCAATCGAGACAGGATCTACCAGTGTGGTTCGGTTTCTGCTTGAAAAAGGTGTAAGGAGTTTGTCCCGAGATGCCGCCCGGGATACAGCCGCCAGGTCGGTCGTCTATGGCTCTCGCTGCTTATATGCCCGACCCGGAGATAGTCAAGATGCTAATTGCCCATGGAGCGAAACCATTTCCCGAGGAACCGGTCGGCACCAATGTCCTCCCATTGGTAAATGCTGCCAGCGTGAAGAATTATGCAGTGGCTCAGCTCCTCCGTGAATCCATCGACCTGGAGGAGATGATCAGATCGAGAGGCCAGAACCAAGAATTGCTTTTGTTGGTCGCTGCTGCCTGTGGATGGGATGACATGGTACGACAACTCCTCGACCAGGGCTGTCCGGTGGATACAAAGGTACGGAATTCGTACTCTTTTAATTCAACCAGTAAGCCCGACATCGACAAGCAGCATCTCCCGGCTATATCGCTCGCGGCCGATCGAGGTCACTACAGCACTGTGCAGCTACTGCTTTCCTATAATGCAAACTACAATCCCCCCTGGAGATATGAAGAACCCTTTCCACTTCTCCATGCAGTGGCCTCAGGACACCTGGATATTGTGGAGCTTCTCCTCGATCACGGTGCAGAACCGAATGGTATAGGACGATGGTATGACCGGAGCAAAGATATTGGTGACCTACCGTGCATTTATTGGGCTTTGGGACATCCGGAGATCTTCCGCTTTCTGCTTGACCGAGGCGCGGATCTATTGGTGCCAGCAGTAGAAGCCAGCATCCAGATCGACCGGAGTCTACATGGGATTATCTCAATCAGTCATGAGTTTGAGAGCGGAGGGCGAGCACCCACAAGCACACTTATCATCCAAGAGGCTCTCAAAAATGGTTGTATCGAAATAGTTCAAATCCTCCTGGAAAGAGGCATACCATTACAAACCCCTGGATAAGCTGGCTGTTGGGGTTACAAGCCCCTGCTAATAGCGGCAACGACGGAGGGTGAAGAAATGACAAGGCTTGTCTTGGACCATGGACTGAACATTTTCTCAGGAAGCCTAGATATCGAGGAAGCCATAAATACTGCCGTCGGTAAAGCAAACTTCCCGTTGTTCAAGCTCCTGCTGGACAGTGGATTGTTGGATTCTCCATCTGCTTCTCCAGGAGATCGAAACATTCTGGGAATTGAGATACCCGCGCCCCCAGTGCCACAGAAAGATACAAATACCGATGCGACCACTGTGAATCTGCCAGCAGATCACGGCGCATACAGCGAACCGATAACACCACCTCTAGTCACGTCGCCTCTTGATCATCTGTTCATGAGCCAGGCTGTACCAGGCCCAGGAAATACGGACATTTTCGTTCGGTTTTTGTTAGAACAAGGTGCAGAACCTCTTGGAGGGTCTTCTGCCTTTATGACTCCATTGGGAATAGCTTTAAAACGAGGATATATCCATATAGTTCTATGCTGAGGGTCATTGATAGACAGACTATTACGGAGGAAGAGTTCTTGCTTAAGCTTGGCGTGCTTCCTGAGATTGACCCCCAGACGCAGTCGCTCGTAGTAGTTATGCCGAATACTACGCTAAGCGGAGCAGCAGAGACCTTCCATAAAGTGAGTTGATAGGTGGGAACCGGATCTTATTCATGACTATTATACCGCTTCTCCCGGCTAGCATTGGCTATAAGCCTTGTTTGAACGAGTATTGTGCTGTGGGTATTAAGCTAGACTTGAAGACAACGTGATGAAAGAAGGGAGACGGAACAGGGGCGAACAAGGTCAGTTCTATTCTTGTCATAGGCTATAGGCTTTATTGTAATGATTACCCCCTACCATAGTAGGTACATGGCTTATTGTGTTATAAATTGTCTGGATGATCAACACCCTGATCCATTGCTGAACATGTAGTTGTATCGTGAGGGTGGAGTGTGTAACACAAAGGAATGCGAGACAATAACAAGGAAGAGACCAAGTCATGTTAAGACGGATAGTAATGATTATATACTGTCAAGCTAATTGTACTCGAGAATCACTCGGAGCATATGAGAATCGTATGTCCTTGTTGTACTAGAGTGTCGTCAATGCGACAGTGGAACTGTTGCCACGAAAGGTTCATGGAGATTTGGATATGACCAATCCCGACTTGCCAAGGGAGGTGAACCAACACAACAATTCCAATCCGATGGTACTAGCCCCTCAAAGGATGGTTAAGAGGCGTGGGACCTTTCAGCAGCGCCCGTCCAGCGCCAGCTAGACCGAAGTCCAGCCGTCACCGACGAGTGCTGACACAGATAAAAGACGCCGTTTCTTCATCTTGGATTTAGTTGTGTGAAGAAGAAAAGGAGAGAAAAATTTTGCCGAGCGAAGATAAACCAACAGCTGGTGCACGGACCAGGCGGAGAGCTCGAACGGGAATAGTTTCATTTTTCCGCTTTCCGCGGGCAACGGAAAGGTCCCCCATGCTCGTCCGACTAGCATCAGTCGTTTAAAAGCCGTCGCTTTCCTATCGGCTAAGTACATAATACTCTGCTTGAGAATTGACCTTCTTCAGCTTCATCATGTATTTGTCTCGCTGTGGTAGATCCGCTGCTCGCTTGCTCCCCCTTGGGAGCTCCCGGGGAGCCGTTGTCTCCGCTCGCGCCTCTATCGTGCCCAGATTGGCCCCCCAATCGCGGGGAGTAGCGTCGTCCACTCGCGATACCCAGCACAAGGTTGGTGGCCGGGAATTGATGCAATGGCAAGCGGAACATGCAGACTGACCATTTGATAGCTACTCGCGACCTCTCTGGAGGAGTCCGACCCCGCCGTTTATAGCATCCTGCAGAAGGTACGTTATCGCCGATAGAGAGCTCACCAATTGACCGACAAGTTGCTAAACCCATTCCAGGAGAAAAAACGCCAAAAGCACTTCATTAACCTGATCCCCTCCGAGAACTTCACATCGCAAGCTGTTCTCGATGCCCTAGGCAGTGTTATGCAAAGTATGTCCTGGTGGCCGTCTTTACTTGTCCGACAGATCAAGCTAACCGCAATTCAGACAAATATTCCGAGGGATACCCCGGTGCTCGATACTATGGAGGAAACGAACACATTGATGCCTCCGAGCGGTTGTGCCAGCAACGTGCCCTGGAGACCTTCCGTCTGGACCCGGCGGAATGGGGAGTGAACGTTCAACGTATGATACAGCCGACGTAATACAATGATAGACGCAAAGACTAACTCACTCCAGCTCTGTCCGGTTCACCCGCGAACCTCATGGCCTACTCCGCCCTCCTCAACACCCACGACCGCCTTATGGGCTTGGACCTTCCCCACGGTGGCCATCTGTCCCACGGTTATCAGACTCCTACCAAGAAGATTTCCGCCATCTCCAAATACTTCGAGACCTTCCCTTACCGCCTCGATGAGTCGACTGGTCTGATCGACTACGATGCATTGGAAAAGTCCGCCACCCTATACCGGCCCAAGCTTATTATCGCGGGTACCTCGGCCTACAGCCGTCTGATTGACTACCCGCGCATGCGCGCGATCGCCGACTCCGTAGGCGCCTACCTTCTGTCCGATATGGCCCACATCTCGGGTCTTGTGGCTGCCAACGTACTCCCATCTCCCTTCCCCTACTCAGATGTCGTGACCACCACCACTCACAAGTCTCTACGTGGCCCGCGTGGCGCCATGATCTTCTACCGCAAGGGCGTGCGTAGCACTGACAAGAAGGGCAACCCCGTCATGTACGATCTCGAGAACCCCATCAACGCATCCGTCTTCCCTGGCCACCAGGGTGGCCCTCACAACCACACTATCACCGCGCTGGCTGTGGCCCTCAAGCAGGCTCAGACCCCCGACTTCGAGGCCTACCAGAAGACAGTGCTTCTCAACGCCTCTGCTCTGGCCAATCGTCTGGGTGACTCCACCAGCAACGGTGGACTCGGCTACAACATCGTGTCCGGTGGCACCGATAACCACTTGGTGCTAGTGGACCTGAAGAACCGCGGCGTGGACGGTGCTCGTGTTGAGCGCGTTCTCGAGCTGTGCGGTGTCGCCAGTAACAAGAACACCGTTCCCGGTGACAAGTCCGCCCTCAAGCCCGGCGGTCTGCGTCTCGGAACCCCTGCCATGACCTCCCGTGGCTTCCAGCCGGAGGACTTCACCCGTGTCGCCGATATTGTCGATCGTGCGGTAACCATCACCCAGAAGTTGGACAAGGCTGCCCGTGAGTCGGCTCAGTCACGCGGTGTCAAGAACCCTAATACTGTCAAGGCCTTCTTGGACTACGTGGGTGAGGGTGAGGAGATCTCGGAGATTGTTGTGCTCCGTCAAGAGGTCGAGGACTGGGTTGGAACCTTCAGCTTGCCGTGGGCTGATGAACAGTAGACGTTTCTTTTTCTTTTTCTTTTTCTTTTTCTTTTCTTGATTCCCTCTATATATTTCCTTACATGATTTTGAACGAATATGATTGAAGACCTTTTCATTTAAGACCAGAAGAAGAAGAAAAAAGTACTGAATTATCATATAAAGAACAACATGAAAGTAAATTGCCTATCAGATATGGTAAAATCCAGTAACAGGGCGGATTTTACTCCGCAAAGTCTACTTCGGGGACGGTAACCGGGGAACGATGTCATTATCTTTCCCCGAGATCGGCTTGCCAAAGCGAATTTTCGTACTCCGCACTGCATCGAGGTACGATATACTGCTTTCTTTTCATATACAGCAAGCCTTCCACCTCCAATCATGAAAGTCAGCCAGGTACGAACATGGAATTGCAACGACGGAAAATGGCATGCTAATCTGTCAGCTCTATGTCTATCCGATTAAATCCCTCCGACCAACAACAATCACAGAGGGAATCCTCACCACACGCGGCTTTCAATATGACCGCCACTTCATGCTCCTCAAAGTCATCCCAGCCGAGGATGGCTCCGGCACCACGACCCTGAAAAACATGCATGTCCCGCACTTCCCAGAGATGGCCCTCTTCCACACCGACATCGAGTATCCGAAGACAGAGAAGGACGGCGGAAAACTAATTATCACATACCACGCTCCTCTATCAGCTCTATCAGAGTCAAAGTCAGCCCCCGAATCCCGTGTAACTAATCGACTGGAAATCCCACTCAAGCCCAATCCAAAGAGCCTCAACCCTTTCAAAGTCATGATGCACAAGAGCCCAACGACAGGATACAACATGGGCGCAGAGTACAATGACTGGTTCAGCGCCCGCTTCGGATACCCCGTAGTGCTAGCCTACCTTGGACCGCATTCGAGAGAGGTGCTTGGCACACTGGCGCCAGGAAAGAAAGACAAAAAGACCGCGCTGCGCAGCATACGTGAGAGTCTAACGAATCCTGACAGGGAATGGGAGCGGCTTCTCCCGGTTCTTATTGTCGCATCCGCGATCAATATACTCCTTCAGGGCGGTACCCTCGTCCGCGACGGGATAACCCCCCAAACAGCTCGCAGTCTCACGCCCACGCTCCTTTTCACCGCTAGTGCGGCGGTGCTATATTACTTTTACACTCTGCACGGACAGCACGAGGGCCGCATTACTTTTGCGGATTGTGCGCCTTATCTCGTTATCTCCGAGACATCCGTCGATAATGTCTCAGCGCGGCTTCCGGACGGGGAAAATATGGACCGCACGAAGTTCCGGCCTAATATTGTTGTCTCGGGGGCTGGAGAGGCTTTCGAAGAGGACTTTTGGGGCGCGCTGACTTTGGGCAATGATCTGGGGCGTGGGTCGAGTAAGCTGTTGCTGACGGGGAATTGTGTACGCTGTCAGAGCCTTAATGTTGATTACGAGACTGGGAAGATGGGGGCTGGTGAGTCTGGTGCTGTGCTTAAGAAGTTGATGAAGGATCGTAGGGTGGATTCTGGGGCGAAGTTTAGTCCTGTCTTTGGTAGGTATGCTTTCCTGGAGCCGAAGGGTGAGGGGATTAGTCTGAGAGTTGGGGATGAGATTGCGGTTGCTGAGAGAGAAACCAAGAGGTCTATTTTCGGTGAGTCTTTCTCCTCTTTTTCTGGCGAACTGTGGGAGTGGACGCTAATTGGGTTCTCTAGATTGGCCTGGCATGACGAATTGAACCTAAATCGGTTTTTTCTTTTAGTTCTATATCGATATGGACATCTGTATCTAGATAACGGGGAAATTGACGTCATCTTGAAGATTGGAATATACAGATTTCGGATAAAACTTTTATCCTAGAACAATTGTAGCTAGGTTGCAAGACTCTAATCAAACTACATATATGTACATCGTAGCTGAAACCCGAGTGAGAAACATAAGAAAGCAATTCAATTGGTAGATAATCACACAGCCACAGTTACGTCACAAACAAACACCGCCCCTAATTGCCCCAAAAGTAGTCACCTGACTTACTTGATCCATGGAAAGGCAAACCAAAATGATGTGGGACTCGGATTCGATTTCTAAGAATAACTTGCAATAACTTTGAACGACAGTTTCGTTCTTCCCTTGCATTTTATTGACTTGTGCAACTTCATCTTACACATTTGCGCTGTGGTCAAGCTAAGTCCAGCCTTACCGAACTATTCAGGGACTGTGGCTCAAGCCCCTCCAATCATCACCCATACGCCGCTGCCTATTCGGAGTCCACACTAAA